TCCTCCGTATCTCCCCCTTCTCTTATTCATACAAGAAATAATAATACAATGTTGAATGGCTGATCCAGAATCAATGTCCGAGTTCCTCTTCTACTCCCGGCATCACTTGAGGTCCACCATAGCCATGGCCGCCTCTTCCTCCCTTCATCATCATAGGCCGAGGCTATGGCGGACTACTAGGCCTTGCCCAGATGCCCAAAGGACAACCCAAAGCAGCTATGGCTGCTCCAACTCGGCCGCCATGCCCAACTCTGCCTCGAAGCTTCTTGGTGTAGCTCTCCCCAGTTGGGGACTCCCTGCTGCAGAGCCCACCAAGATGATGAAGATGGCTGCCACCATAGCCAGGTAAGTACCCCTGGCGCTCCTCCCCCTTCCTGTCCTTCTTCCTCCTCCGTGTCCTCCTTTCCCCAGCAGCGCCGCTCCGAATAGCGCTGCTCCAGCCGGCGCTCCAACCAGTGTGTCGCCAAACTTGCACAGCGAGAATGAGGTCGGGCTCTTCGCCCGGCTGGGAGATATAGCGGCCTGCTTGCCTCTTCGGGCGGTGACTTCCAGACCGCTAGGCCTTCCAAGCAACCGGTACCTCCTCCCTTTCGGAGGGAAACATCATTCCAGACTCTGATATTGCCCGTACAGGCCCTAGATCCAGACTGGTTGGACTGGTACCCGCCTACACCTAAGCTACAACTATTGGGCCTCTAAAAATGCCACTTTGTCTTCTTCTGCTCGACCTCCAGTACCCGCACATCTACCTCTTCAAGGTGCGGTACCAGCCTACCCGCTACTTGAGTGTTTTTCCCGCTGCAATCCCTCAATGTCACGGCCACATGTAGGTACTGGCCCTGAGGGCCCAATGAACGAGCAAGTGCCCTTAAGGGCCACACACACACACTCAAGCCAACCAGCACTCAGACAGGCACGGCCACACACACACTCAAGCCAACCAGCACTCAGACAGACATGCAGTCCAGCAAGCGTGCACACACAGACTTAGTAGCAGGCAGGAAACTCAGCAAGGCATTCAGTCTATGGGCAAAACTCAGAAATCAGCCGTGTGTTTCAGTCCATGTTTAGACGGCTCATCACACTACCCCCCCCTCAAGCGCAAGGTCCCTTCGATCGAGTAACTCATTCCGAGTCCTCGACAAACGCATCGTTAGCAAGCAAGGCAAAGAGGTTCCTAGAATACTCCGTCGCAGTAAGCCCTGCGGAGATCTAAGGAGTAGCGTTATGGTTGCGATTTGTCGCTCGTGGGATTTAACAACGCGTGGTGCGCTGCAAAGCAGATCCTGCTTGGAAATCCAGTACAGATCGTCCAACGGGTGATACATGCAGTGAACCTGCTACTGTCTGTTGTGTCCCTTCCCTACGTGTTGTTTAATTCTGTCTATCTCATGCCCACCTTTGATTGCACGAGGGATCATGTCTTCGCGATAATCGAACGTCTTAGCGTCACGGTGGAGGTACAGTTTTGATGCATGGAACACGGGGTATGTGCGCAGATGGGCTGGCACATCAACTACGTACGAAGGGCCAAAGTGATCTTCGCCAATCACATCCAAAACTTCCCACGGACCATAATAGAGTGGGAGAAGTTCACGAGAGACTCCCTCTTCTTCTGAAAATTTAGACATCTTGACCCAGACATAGCTTCCTACCTGAATATCTGACGGTCGGCGCCTCTTGTTTGCATGATGGATCATAGCGTGCTGTCGCTTTATCATTGTTGCAATGGCAACATTGAGCAAGTGATCATACTTGGCCCTGAAGTCAGGCCTGCCGGGTGTTAAGCCAGCTGGCTGCTCAGGGAATAGGTAGGAGAGCGGATTACGGATCTGCCAACCGTAATGCAACCTGTTGGGTGTCCTGTCGGTGGCAGAATGGACGGAGTTGTTGTGCAACCCCTTAATGGAATACAACTCTTCATCCCATGTTTCCTCATCCAGAATAATCAAGGCGCGGAGAAGTTGGAACACAGTATGGGTAATCTCCTCAGCCAAACCATTGGCTTCAGGGTGTCGGCCAGATGTCATACACAGCCTGATCCCTAGTTGAGACGTGAAGTCCTTCCATTCAGTACTAATGAAGCGCAGATCCCAATGGCTCACAAGAGTCTTCGGGGTTCCAAACTGCATGATGTACTTCTGTTTGAACTCACGGATCACTAATTATGTTGGACCGTGAGGTGGCAAAGGGATCAGATTAAGGAACTTAGAGAATCGGCTAACAATCACCATGACTTGTGAGTAGCCGTTCTTAATTACCTTTTCCATGTCGGTGAAGTCGATGGAGACGGACTCCCCGAGACCATCGGGAATGGGAAGGGGTGTGAGTAGCCCCATGGGCTTTTGTCTGCATGGTTTGATTCGTTGACAGACTTGACATTCAGCCACAAACTTTTCAGCAGTCCCTTTCACGCCAGGCCAATCAAACTGTCTCAGCAGATTTGCATACCTCTTTGCCATGCCCAAGTGTCCGCTCCAACCATGAGCCAAATCCAGAAATTGCGTGCGGAGAGGCTCATGGTTGGGCACACACAAGCGGTCGTGGTTCCCGTAGCGACGGAAAATCATTCCTCCATACTCGTGAAAATCAGGCAGACTGCTAGGGTGAGCTCGCTGCCGCTCGAGGATGGGACTAAGCTCCAGATCCTTGGTTGTGTGCTCTACGAGCTCCTCCTTCAGTTTCTTCCGGAGGTCGTAGGCTTTCACCAGGCAAGTCATGTACTCAGGGTGGCGAGACAATGCATCAGCAACTCGATTGTAACAACCCTTTTTGTGTCTCAACTGAAAGTCAAAAATGACAATTTCATGGAACCAGCAAAGTAACATAGGGGACAGGGTAGTTTGCTCCTTGATCCACTTCAGAGTCTCATGATCTGATAATACTTTGAAGTGGCGTCCCAAAAGATAGTGCTTTCAATGGTCCAAAGCCATAAGCAAAGCATAGAGCTCGCGCATGTAGGTGGAAGTGGCTACCTTTTCGCTAGGCATGCATTTGCTGTAATATTTGAACGGTCGAAGGCCATCGCTGTCATCTTGCTGCAGCACTGCGCCGATTCCATACTGACTTGCATCCGTAGTAACTACGAATGTCAATTTGGGATCTGCAATGCGGAGTATTGGGTAACTTACCAAGACTTCTTTCAAAGCTTAAAAGGCGTTCATGCAAGCGGTGTCCCAAGAATAGGGAACATTTTTTACTTGT